TATATATAAGAAATTTAATTTTTTATATATTAAATACAGTGTAAATCGATTAAATTCGTTTCTATTGTGTATCTAAATTTAAATCTGAAAGAGTTTAAATAAAAAATGTATCAAGAAAAGACCACACTCGTAATTGGACATAGGCACCAAAGAAATGATAATTTTTAATTCAGTGGAATGGAAACTGAAAATCTAATTTAGTAAGTTTACGCGAGACTCTAAATGACAGTAGAATAAACACTTATATCATTAGATTATTTTAGTTGAACGGTTTGTATACATGTCTTATACTCCTATGTTCTCGTGTTCGAATCCGTGTCTTGACTGCATCAAAATTCATGTAAGTTATAGTTCTAAAGGCCTATGAAAAAATGTAAACGAATACATAAATTGTACCTGCAATTCAAGATCTATGAAGTCATTGACGATTTTCAATTTTTTTTCCATCTAGAATTTACGACACCACAGTTTGAGAAACGCTGCGAAATTTTTCACAAAAACAATCGTTACACAGCGTTTATTTTAGCAGATGTGAAACGCGTCAAACCGGTCAGCATTAACGCGTTTCGCAGCTATGGAAAAATGCGTTTTCAGAACGCGTTTTTTTCGCAGAAATTTACACCATGGGTGTACCAGCTATGCCTCGATCAACTAAATTAATTAATGAATCACATATTTGGAAAAGTAAAGTTGATGATCTTAAAGAATGTAATATTCCACGATATTATCGATTGTATAATGAGGTTAGTTTTCGAGAAGTATACAATTTTTCACGTTTACTTGATGCATATTTGAATACAAATCGAATATCAACAAAAGATTATTCATCAATGATTAAAAAGTTTGCATTAGAACAACAATTACCACCTCCTATAACAAGTGTTGCATAAACATTTAGAAAAAAAAAAAACAGATTCTTATTTTTTTTTTCTTTTGAGATGAACTCATTTATATATTCTCTTTTCTTTAAAACAAGATGGATATATTTAATTAGAAATTAAGATATATCTATATATATTTTAATCGATTATGAAAATCGCTTGTGGTGTTATGTAAAGTCGTTCTGCTTTTCTTTTCTTTGCGCCTATATTAAAAAACTAGAAAAAAAAACATATTCATTTTTTATCGTTTACTATTCAATTTAATTACAAAAACAACTTCAAACTATTTTTTTCTTAATTGTATCACAGTATGTGATATATATATATAATATGTCTTCACAATGAAACGGATTGTATGTTGAGTCAAAAATACGAAAAAAAATTCAAATAGCTTTGATTTGTACCATTCTCTCTAGAAGCGGTAGATCATTAGCGTACCACCAAATGACCTTCATGATTAAATGAATTGAAAAGTCAATTGTAGTTAAAGAAATCTTTAAGATATATTCTTACAAAGTGATGAAAGATATTCTGAGTAGTGTTAATCATATGAATTCCGAGTTTCTTAGTGTCAAAAAAATTCTGCAAGAATTTGTTTAATATTCTACAGAAGCCATTCATATTAACCGATAAACCAAATGCAAACAGAAATGTATCGTTCGAACTGTTCGACAAAATCTCAAGTTCAAAGTGTTAAGATAGTTACAGGAAATAGATTATTTATTGGATATAAGCATATTTAATTTGTTCTAGAATAAAAAAATGGAGTCTACTAGTCCGTAGCTATGAGAACAGGAATGTTATTATTTCTGCTGTTGCTGTCTGTACGTCGTTATTAAAATATAAAATTACAATGTAAAAATAACAAAATTCGATTTCATTCTTTTTGGCAAAGCCAGAAACCATAAAAGTCTCAAAAAAAAACAGAATAATATAGTGTCTAGCAGAATAAAATACTTTTATAAGTTCTTAGAGACTAATAAGTAAATAAAATTCAAATCTAACAAACCAAATACATATATGTATAACATATCATTCCTTGGTGTGAAGAAAGAAAATAAATTTTCCACTAATGCAAAGATTCAAACACATGCAAACATAAGTTTTTATTTCAGCATATTTTATCAATAATCTAATCCATACTAAATTCATGTCGGTGAATTTTACCTTCATTATTTATTGTATATAATTAATCACAGACTTTAGATTCAAATTCAAGTTTGGAAAATATTTCATATCATTTGTTTTTAAAGATAAAATTATATCACATTTTCTTCGTTCTTTTAAACAACAACCATCATTTCAATTACAATAGAATACAAGTAGCGTTCATCGAGAATCGATTCACTTTTTTCCCTAGACTGAGAAATTGATATGTAATTGTTATTATATAAGGAAAATATGACCCAATAAAGTATTACATGTGTATAAAAAGCTGATTTTTATAGTTACAAGTGAACAGCTTAATAAAAAACCGAATACAGAAATATTTATGAAGTAAGATTAATATATATGTGAATACACAAACAATGATTTTGAACATTGCATATATGCAAAGAGTTGTTTGATG